CCCCTTCAAAATGCGTCCGGACAGTTTATTACGGCAAGTGGAACAAAAATAACAAGTCCGCAATTAACATGGATATATAAATTATGCAAAAATAGAAAAGAGTGAACTTTGAGGTCATGCTGTGCGACTTTGAAAGTCGTTAGAGAGATGAGTGGACGCATTTGAATTAGTAGTATACCAAGGTATCCAGTGATGTAATTTTACCCACAATTGGACTTGAAGTTTTTAAGCTAATTTTTTTTAAACCACTTTTGTCCAAAAAAGCATATTTTTGACCCAATATCAAAAACGCATTCTGGATATTTAAAATAAAGACAAGTTTTACAAAGTTTGTATAATAAGCTTTCAGAAAATATATAACATGTTGGATATATAATACCATCTTCATTGTCTAATTACTCAATTAAAAAGGAAGCCAAATAAACTGCATCTCTACCTTAAGTACATGTATATAGATTTATTTTCATACTCTCTTTTATACTGTAAAATTTTAACTTTTAAATTTATTTTAGCTGGATTAATTTTTGCTGAAAAGGCATTTTGGCTGTTTTGTATGAAGTTTACTTTCATTGCTTTTCGATGAGTTGAATGTAAAATACAAGAAAAAAAGTATATACTGCTTTTTATACACTGGATTTTATTTTAACTGAATCATTCCTTCCTCTCCATGTGGCCACAATTAATAGTACGTCCATTAAATTATTGTGTAACTCGGGCACTACGGATCTACGGTGATCCTAACCTCAGACATACGATCTTGTACGCAGATGCCTCTGTTTCACAATTACATCACGGTTATTAAATACCTGGTTACACGCAGTATTACGTGTAACTGTGAAACAGAAGTACCGGTAACTATTCTCAAATGCGCCATTTTGAAAATAGCGCGCTGTTCGATCGTTGAGCACACGGTCTGAACGTGGCACACTATTGTTATTTTCAAAGCAGACTGGGTGGTGACATACCTGGATCACTTTCTAACTCAAGCCAGCGATTCATCTCGAATCGCAGTGCTTTTTTTCATCAAAAACTCAAATTCGTTCACACGATGACATGGTGAACACAAAACACCGACTGCCGACAACTGACCCTTTAAGTTGACGATAATAAAGAACAATGGGTTATTATGAAATCGGCAAAGGAAACAGAAACACGGTGTGACGCAAACTGCCAACAGAAACAGATAGAATTAAATAAATAAAATATTCCCATCAATGTGGCTTTATTGGATATCCCGAATAAAGAATTAACTAAACAAAGCCCTGATTTATCTGGAAGGTGGCCATACCGGGCCCTGACGCAAGTAGTTCCGCGGGTCGTTCCATTTTAATTGTGTGTTCTGCAATCTATTTAGTAAACAAATTGTAACCAAACTAAAATAAACTATATTTTATAATAACAAATATTAATAGCTGTAAGCGGCCACGTATCACAATATATAGAATGTTACTTGTATATGTTACATTATTTTCAGGCCCTGGTTATTTTTAACTGAATGGAATGGTCGAATAGACTCCCTGAGTTAGAAAAGATAAGGTCGTCGTTCGACAGATTGTCCACCAATCAAGTGCGCCCCTAAAAGGGTATCTATAAACGACACAATCGCCGTAGTTTTTATTTTAACGCTTAAAAATGGAGGAAACAGATAATTCGAGTTCACATCCATACTATCCCAGAGATCTATTAATACCGCATTTTAAAGCCAATGAATTATCCCAGGTTCAATTGCTGATCACCGTCTTCGGTACATTTGCCGTAGTGTTCATTGCAACATGGTTATACAGTGGTACGCTGAAGCGAAGATTGCCCATTTCAATTTCTCAACGACTTGTCATTTGTTGGTTCGCGCTATGTGGATGTATACATTCTGTTCTGGAGGGATATTTTGGTATTTACCACAGCGTTATAGCCGGTGACCAAAATATACTGTCGCAATTATGTAAGTACTAGTAAATGCTGCAAATTTAATTTTAGCATGCTGGTAACTTATGGGCAAAGTTCAATCATGTTTTAAGATTGGACCATTACAATTGGGGGAGTGGTATAATAATATGCTAATTAATACCTAAAGTCCCGTAGAATTAGTACTGATTACTAGAAGGACTAATAAACCATACAAAACGTGCACAAATAATTTAATACAAGAAATGTATGTATATATACATGCATCCATAAATACACAGTGATCTCAAAACTGGTTACTGAATTTGATAATCAAAAACGTAGTGCTGCCTCTATGATTTGACTTCTACCACAGTCCCTCTATCAATCACAGATTCTACACTCTGGCATCAGTTAGTGCACAGTGTAACCAGTTCAACCAAAACATTTTGAACTTTACCTTTATAACAAACATGGGTACAAAAAATGGCCTTGAACAATCAAGAGTATCATAATTTTACTTGCAACAAATTTCCCCCTTCACTTATTTTGTAACCATGGCAACATAACTATATGTTGAACAATGACCATTGGTCACATGATGTTTGACAAGGGAGTGACTGCGAAAACGGTCAACAAATGTCACACAAATGATATGCTTTTTTAGAGTGCAGAGCAGATAAAGGCAGGGTACAGCAAATGTATCATTTGTTTTAATCATTTTTTTTTCAAAAAA